CACAGGCTCCTAGCCCTCCTTCAGCATTCATTCTTCATGCCTCGATTTCCGATTTGTAAATGGGGATAACTGTTCCTCTGTATTTATCTCTCTTGTCATATTTAAACCATCTGGTGTGATGGGGGCCTCCGTTTTGCTTGTCCTTAGTGAGAATTACTGAAAAGATTGTGGGAAACAAAGTTTGTTTCCACGCAGGGTTCAAGAAGTACAAGAAAAGCTCAGCTGCGAATTTCAGAGGAAATATGAACATTGAGAACTTTCTCAAAGGATGTGCAGTTGGAAATCTTGGGGGTTGGCAGAAGCTCCATTTTAGGAAACAAGATAAAAAAGCAAAGAGTGGACAGGATATTTTCTGTTTTTTGTTTTTTTTTTTCAGTTCAGTAGAATCGTGGAATGGTTTGGGTTGGAAGGGACCTTAAAGCTCATCCAGTTCCGCCCCCTGCCATGGGCAGGGACACCTTCCACTAGAGCAGCTTGCTCCAAGTCCCGTCCAGCGTGGCCTTGAACACTGCCAGGGATGGGGCAGCCACAACTCCCTTGGGCACCCTGTGCCAGCGCCTCAGCACCCTCACAGTAAAGAACTTCTTCCTTATATCCTAGATCTGCCCCGTTTAAGTTTGAACCCATTACCCCTTATCCTATTGCTATAGTCCCTGATGAAGGAATAATACGCAGTAATACACAGCTTTACCTGTTACTAAGAGTGGAGGCGACTTTCATCTTAAATATGTTCCTTTCATTTTAATAGAATCCCTTCAATGCTGAATATTAAAATGATTACAAAGAATTCTCTTAATAGAGATTTTTCTGGGCAGATTCCAAGGGTTCATTCAACCGGTGCTTCCTTGGTTTTGGTTTTAGGCACCACTGCCAGTTCTTTTGTGTAGCCTTGCAACTTCAAAGGCAAGGAAGGAGGGAGGTGGGCAGGAAAGCATTTAGGGAAGTTACTCTACCTATGTGAGCATCTCAATGAGTATGAAGTGATGTTCATGGGTTGGATAACCTTAAGGAGAGCATGTCTTTTGCCCTAGAAGCAAAAGTGGTCTGTGGGTCTGAGAGCCATGAGAAGGTCATATGTGAGATGACGATGAAACAGGCTTGTTTAGTAACGCATGCATATATATTACTGTGTGATCAAGTTGAGAAGAGCAAACCTGTAAATGAATATTCAAAACACAGCTTAGTTCTTGATTAAATAAAGAATTACCTTGGCAAAGCTGCATGGGGGCCTGCGATGTTTTTGTCCTCCACAATGTTAGCTGTTTCTGGGATGAAAATGCTCTGGAAATGCTGACATTGACAAAGAAACCAGCTCATAAACAACCCAGCTTCGGTTCATCCCAGCTGAGCCTGGGAAAACAAAACTGGGTTGAAAAAAGTACACTGGCAAGGTTTTAATTATGATTTTAATAACGAAGCTCGAACAAACCCCTTGCTACCAGTACATCAACTGCCCCCCTCATGCTGTTTTCCCAGGCCTGATGGAGGGGTGCTGGGAATGCAGTGTGAGAGTGGATGAGGGAGCATGGTGATGGGTGTGCCTTCAGCCAGCACTGCAAGTGCTTGACATTTAGGGAGAACAAGAGGATCACTCACTTTGCTGTCTTTATCTGGGAGCAGGTGATCAGGTTCAGCCAGCCAGTTTGTCATCTTAAGGTCTTTGTGGCTAGGGCCTTGTTTGTTTTGCACTCTCAGAAGTGCCATTCAGTCTCACGGCAGAGTTAATAACACGGTGTGATTCCAACTGAGCACAGATTGCTCCTGGAATGTGCCGTGGTTATCTGGAAATAGACTGGTGCTCAGGTTCCAGTACGCAGATGCCAGAGAGTTTCCTTCTACCCATCTGCCTAGGCAACGAGTTATGTCAGTCCAGCTCTAGGAACCACAGCCAAGCTGGATCGTGGTTGGATTCCTGCTTTATCCGCCTCCACAGCAAATTGGGAATGACATTAGTAGAAACACCAAGAGAAAATAATGGGATAAGAAAGGGAGGAGTTTGCAGGCAAAGGAAGTGGGAGGAAAGGTGGGGAAGCCAGGGGAAGGAAGCCACAGAGAAACTGTGAACTTGAGAACTAAGATGTGAAGCACAGACAGGAAAGGGTTGATAAGCAGTGGGCTAGCTGTACGGAGTGAAATTCAATTCTCTCAACATCCATACGGTTACAACAGGGAGGAACCTGCCCCAATTTGTTCACAGCTTCCCCACATTGTGGTTTCTGCTTCTGAAAACCTAAACCTATCAGAAGTATAACGGAGAGACTATTCAGATTATGGTGTATGTGGTGTAATATTCAAGGGACAGACCCTTCAGACAGTGGGAGGGCTGCAGCTCCAGGCACTTCTGAAACAGGAGAAAGTGGCAATTACTGTTTTGGGCTAGACCATGGCACTATTTCCAGGTTCCCATTTTAATTCAGCAATTTATTTATCAGCAAACAAGTAAACCAGCCCTCTTGCAAGGTTACTATCATTAAATAGGTTTTATCCAAGGTTCCTCTTACGCTGTAGGTTCACGGAGGATATACTATATCCTTTCCACGTAACAAAGAACGTAAACCCCAGCTTTAAATGCAAAACTCAATTCAGTGCTGGCTGGGATTCACAAAGCAGTTCCTTCGCCACAGTGAAAGCACTATAAACTCGGGAAGCTAATTTTCAATGGTGGCCCCTTAAATTGCACAGTTGAGCATGTAAGAGCACTATTGTGTCTATGCGAGCATGTGGAGGATCTGAAAGCTGGGGTCACATATAGTTGACTTTTGTTCATTTACAAACCAGTTCCACAGCATCAGGACGGAAAACAGAAAACAAGTCTTGGGATACACTGCCCTGTGCTTTTTTCCCCCAAAATATCCCAATAATGATGTCACTGGAAGGAGGGGGAAGGGGGGCAGTTGGTGGAAAAATGCCAAGAGTGTCCCTGATGAGGAAGGGATTTTGTCTATAGAGCCTGGAGCTGTTTCAGGCTGTGGTGTTTGGGGCAGGACTGAGCTTACTTGGTTTCCTAGAAACCCTGTGCATGAGGTCTGTGCATTAGGCCAGCAAACAGGGTCAGGTGTTGGGTGGTCAGACACACACACACGTTTTCGTGGCTTATTCACTAGGTACAAGGTGAAGAACAAGGGGGAATGGCTTTAAACTGAAAGAGGGGAGATTTAGATTAGATATTAGAGAGAAATTGTTCTCTGTGAGAGTGCTGAGGCACTGGCACAGGGTGCCCAGAGAAGCTGTGGCTGCCCCATCCCTGGCAGTGTTGAAGGCCAGGTTGGACAGGGCTTGGAGCAACCTGCTCTAGTGGAAGATGTCCCTGCCTGTGGCTTAATGATCTTAATGCCCTTTTCAATCCAAACCATTCCAAGATTCCATGATTCTACAGAGCAAAACTGCCTGGCATGTGTGGTCCTGGGATGGTCCTGTGAGAGTGCAGGCGTAAATACATGAGTTTGCTATGGGGAGTGCAGAAGGAGGACCAACAGAGCTCAGTCTGACAGCTTTGCAAAGCACAAATGCAATCTCAGCCTGAAAGAGCCATGATCTGCTGCTCAAGGGGTATGAAAAGCCAGCCTCCTGGAAAATAGCACTCGGAGTCCTTTGCAGAGGAATCAAATGAGGAACAAGGCTATTACCTCGTGTCAAACTGTGTCTAATAAAGAAATGGAAATCCCCAACTCTGCCACAAAGACCAAGGAGACCATGGATCATGCTGTGTGACACAAATAAATGAACAGTGAAACAGAAATGGAAAAACACGGGCCCAAACATTACAAGAAAATACCAGACCTTGAAATGATTGCCTGTCTCAAGCAATAGGCTGTAACACAACATACATTACAAAGATGATCTGCTTGTGCGATCTAGTTTTTGCTGTTACACAGAAATAGATTTGGGACCATCGCTGTTCAACTCTATGTGTATCTCCCTATTTTTAGATTACATTAGGAAAAGACAGCAAGCCAATGCCAACAAATATCTGTACCTGGGGAGCATTGTAACTGTTCATTACCAGATATATGAGGCATTAGCAGAGATGTTTAAACAGGGATGCTGGGTTTCTCCTTTGCTCTGCATGCTTAGTCTCTTGTTCTAATAAGCTTTCAGAGTACAGATCTGCATCCCCCATCTTATGGAGCATCATAAGCAGGACATGTCACCAGCATGAAGATGCATCGACCCAGGACCACTCGCAGGATCTGGTCATTGCGGGATTATTCTCTCTCTTGTTACATGTGAGCACAGAGTCCAGTTTACTCACATCTTGCTTCTGGGCCACCCATTGCTACTGAGAGTAAGTGTGACTTCCACACACTTTTCCCTCCCTCTTTCTTTCTCTCCAACCCAGCAAGGACTTTTGTGAGCATTAGGACCAGTGAAGTGGGGTTTCCTTAGGGGAGAGTCATGTTGACCCCTTCCTGGTGTGTGTTGGATGCTCTTGGATTCGGGATCTTGCAGGAGCAATAAAACAGATGATCTCTTCTACACAGTTACCTGCTTTGTAGTTATCAAACTTAGTTGAAATCGTTGGCTCAGAAGTTACTGGCACGCACAGGGAGCACAACTTTAGAAGCCATTTTTCCTTAGGAAACCAGGCTTAGGCGGGTTGGCTTTCCCAGTGGTACAAACACGGGCTCTTCATTTGGCTCTGTAGGCTTTTTTTTTGACAGCCTTTCCAATCCTGCAGTGTCATCCTTTGTTTGAAGCGGCTCTGACACATCTTCCAGCGCGTTTAGAAAGCTCCCAAATACCGGCCAACAAGCGACCTTCCCGCTCTCTTTCTTTTGCACTCCCAGCGCATCCGAAGCCCATCAGGAGTTACTGGAGCACCCTAGAGCCGCGGGGCATCGTGCTCACGACTCACCCCCGAGCGGAAGGGTCCCCTTGGGCCACCCCTTCGGGCTGCCGCTCCCCGGAGCCCCCGAAGGGAGCGAGAGCCGAGCCGGGGGGGTTCTCCTGGGAAGTTTCCTGCCGGGGGAGGGCCGGGCTGGGCGGAGAAGGGGCACGGCCATGGGGCGGAGCCGGCTGCGCTGCGCTCCGGCGCTCCGCGGCTGCCGGGCACGGGGCGCGCACGGCAGTGGGAGCCCAGCGCCGCCGGGAGCCGCCCGCAGACAGCTCCGTGTGTCCCCCGGGGCGGGGAGCCGCCGGCAGGTAACGGGACGGGGCTCTCATCGGGCCGGGTCGGGTTGGGGTTCGCTTCGGGGTGCCCCCAGCAGCCGCTCCTCCGCCGAGCCTTGCCGAGGCTCCGTCCCCCTGCCCGGGGCAACAGCACTGGGACGCAGCCGGTTGGGGCTCGCACGGAAGGGGCTCGGCTCCCTCCGCTGCCGCTCGGGTTCCCAGGGGCACCGGGAGTGCGAGTTGAAACGCTCCCCCCGAGCAGCCGAGCGAGCCCCGCCGGTAGCCCCTCTCGGGGCCCGCAGGCTCTCCCCGTCGGTACCGGGAGTGTCTGGGGGGGGGGTCTCGGAGCATTCTATACCCTTAGTACACCTTTAGTAGTCTCTATTTTATCACCCCCCGCGTCCTCCTAAAGGCAAGCGGAGGAGGCGTCGGTGCCTGCGGGCTGTGCCCGGGGCGCTCTGCCGCCCGTTCGCAGCGTTGTGGGGCGTTCTACCCGTTGAAGTTTGGATGGGGGGTGCGAGAGTTCCCCGTGTTTCTGACTCGGGTCCGGCTCGGTAGGAGTTTTCTCTTTCAGACTTTGCAGTCCCGCCACCCTGGGTCAGTCCCTGCTTTCTGATAGGGATTTATAGCAGCGGGGACACGTTAGGGAGGTACAACCCTACCGAGACGTGCGGGTTTTATGGGCTGTGCACTATGAAGTTTTCCCATAACTTTAGTGTTTAAATATCGTAGTGAGCAAGGAGACAGCGTTTTCAGATGCATTATACTTGGGTGGCTTTCTGTGAAGTCTAGTAATCATAATTCCCTGTTTCCTTTAGCCCTTCCCTCAGCAGCTAGCAAGCCCAGCCTGATTGCTGCTTGTGTTTCTGTAACAAGAGGAAATCTGAATGCGATTCCTAGGCTCTAGGCACGTATTTCACTCAATAGCCAGTGGCTACCAAAGCTGCTTGGGCAGAAGTGTGCTGGCAAGGGCTATGTGCCCGGCAGGATGCGCACACACACTGTGAGCCCAGGCTCGCCCTGGATTATACCAGTGGGTGAAAAGTGTGTGGAGTTAGTAAAAGAGTTGCCTTAATTCAGCAGGATGTGCCTGAGTGTTTGATGGATTCTACCAGTGTAATGCTTATTCTGGTATCTATGGTTTTGTAAGTTCTGTCTCAGAAGTATACAGAGAGCAAATGAGAGGGAGGAATAAGCGTGTTCTTTATATTTCTCATCTTTTGAGGAGAATCTTTCAAATGTGACCGTGTAGCATAATGTGCAGAAGTGCTTCTGTGTCATCTGCTTTCACTGAAAGTATTTGTATAGGATGTTAAACTGATTCAAACGCTTGACCCTCCCTGGAAGGCAGTTAATGTTCCTGTATTTGTTGTGGCTGAGGTACAGCTTTTGTTGGCAGAGGCTGGAATACCACACATCACACTTTGCCATGAATTTAAGCGTAGCGGGGCGAGAAGAAGAAAGGAAGAGCTTGAAATTTTCTGAGCTATTCCAGGCTGCCAGCAAAATCCAGACAGGATTTCTACCGATTATCCCACCCTTTCTGCAGAGCAGGCCTTGTCCACGAGTGGCTCAGGTACCCACGTTGTGTGTTTAAGACCGAGAGAGAGGAGCTGGTGCAGAGGAATGAAGGGGTAGCGGTGCCTTGGGGAAGGACCGCTGGCGGCAGAGCATCCGTCCGCATCCCGAGGGATAACGGGGAGCGGGGGGGATGCTTTAAGCGGGCCGCGGACGAGGGTGGAGGTCGGTGGAGGTCTGGGTGCGCGATGCTGGCCGTTTCCACGAGAGGGCTTTCTTCTCCTTACGCGAGGCTCCGCTTGCCCCGCAGGTGCGGAGCGCAGGGTGAGCTTTGGGGGTGGCTTTGGCTCGCAGAGTGTTTCAGCCTTCCTTTGTAAATCACGGGGAAATCCCTTTATTCCCCTTGGGCTGTAAGGATAAGACATCCTGGGAAGAACACCAGCCTTCCGTTTCCAGGCTTGCTTTACAACTTAGAGCAGATCCCAGCAACTTCATTCCTTCAGAGAAGAGGTTGAGTGTGTTTGAGGAGGGGGTCTGAGTGTTTGCATCCTCGCCTTAGCTGATGGCAACGAATGACTCTATCCTGATCTCATTTTTGGCTGCTTTAACGTGTATTATGCTTCTCAGGGTGGGGCGAAAGGGAAACGGGAATCATTGTGTGTGTATGAAAATGCTGATCTGTCCTGAAGTTCTCTGCCAAGTTGTTTGATTCAAACAACTCCATATACACAACACTGCAGGTCTGTTCTAAAAGGCAGAAACTGTATCTGTAACCAGGAATAATACTGCAGTTCATAAAACATGAGAAGCATCTGTTACTGTGGCTTCAATTTGTTTCTCCCTCCCCAGAATAACCCAGTTGACAGCTCAGGCTGTCAGGTTTAATGTCCTGTGCTAAACCTTTGGTCCTGCGTCCCGTGGCTAACTGTGACTCACAGAATCAATAAACTCAGCTCCCGCTCACTGCAGCAGCTCAATGGGGGAGCAGGAAGGGCTTCAAACCATCTCCCTGCATGGAGCTGGTCCCCAGCGGCGGGTGGATAGATGTGGGGTTCTCTAAAACTAGGTCTGTGGTGTGTGCTTCAGCAGAGCCAGCTGGGATCTTGGCTTCTCTCAACATTAGGGCTGAACAAGTGAAAGGGTAGTATTTTCCCTCCTAGCACCTTTTATCTTTGCCTTAATCTATCCCTGGTTGAATACTGTAGGCACTTGAAGCGGAGCCATCTTCAGCTTTGATGTGTGTTTATTGGCTCTCGTGTCTCATTCTCTTGCCTTTTTGTTTTCCTTTGCTTTCTAAGTTAGGTTGTTCTTTCCCCACCCCTCCTCCCCAAACAAAAAGAGCAGAGGCAAACAGTGAATCGAGTGACTTTGTTGTGAATGGCTTTTCTTGCTTTGCCCCTGCCTTCTGTAAGATCCCTTCATAATTAAAATATTATGACTATCCTTATGGTGGCCCTTCGCTTGTGGCAAGGGTCCCAATCTGACGTCAATGCAAAAATCCTGGTTTCTGGCAAAAGGGCAGATGACATTTCACCAGCTCGTGCATGCCCAGAGTGGTTTTTTTCTACCCACAGTGCTAAGACCATATGGGCAGATAATGAGTTTAAGCTGATAAACAGCTTTAGAGATTTGCCCAAATAAAGCACTTTCTTCCTAGAAAACACGTTTTCCTTTAAAATAAATAATGCAGTTCCTGTGTTTTTATTTAATTATCTCGGGTCCTGTCTGTTCTCACCAGGCTGCAGGAAAACAGACACAACTGCTCTGGGAACAGAAGCTACTGGATTGATGGGGCTGTGGGACTTGCAGGAGGAAAGGCTAGAAAAGAGAAGTTTGGATGCTCCAAAACTGAGGCTTAAGGCATCTAACTAAGCAGATGGTGGTCTGAGAGTTCTGTGAGGTAGTGCATAGTTCTTGACATCTTGCAGATGACTCATCGCAAGAGGTGATAGTAGGTCCAGGGTCTGTTTGGGAGCTATAATTAAAACAGATGAATATCTCTGCTCCTTGTTAATCCTGTGAGGCTGCTGAAGCACTCCTTGTTTGGGCGTATTGCTGTAAAATAACCCCTACTTTTGCTTTTTCAAGAGTGTTTGGCTGGTGTTAGTCTGATTTTGTTTGTTTTACTTAAACTACTATCAATAAAATGTGAGGGAAAGATTTTTGGATCCAGTTTTCTTGTGTTTCGGGGGGGGGGGGAAGTAATAGTACAGTGAGGGCTGGGAATGAACTGGCTGTGGGAAGTGGTGGCCTTTAGTTTTTGTTCCTTCCAACTCCAACCATTCTGTGACTTTAAAATAGTAACTCAAAACCAAGTAGTGTATTCACATGAGAGGGCAAAGCCTGTGTATTTCTCCCGCAAGATGCATAAGAATGAGCTGTTTGGATCTGAAATTGCTCCTTCTCTTTTAAGGTATTTCTTAGGAATTCCCTTTTCCAATCTTTTACTCTTTTTTATTTATTTATTGTTTTTTTCCTTGGGAATGATTGTTCATCTTCATTGGAAGTAGCAAATGAAGGAAGAAAAAGATTGTACAGAAAAATCAGTCCACACATCTCCATCCTTTCTCATGGTGCTTATTCCTTCTAACACTGCCTTAAGTATTTTCTGTTGTCTGTTCCCTCCCTTCCCACCACTTCTCAGCACTGGGAATGCTACTGGACTTTAATCGTGTCTCGTATGAGGATATGTTCCAGACGTCCAGAGCTTTGCTTTGTGATGGTCACTGCTATCTCATTTGTAATTGATATGACAGCCAAGCTGCATTTGGTCCTACCATGGCTGGTGACTGCACAGTTCACTGCTCCTCTTGTGTCCATTCCTTCCCCTACAACAGCACTTCTTATTGTCTTTTCACTGCTCTTGCAGTCCTGAGTTTCCAGCATGGTGAATGAGTTATCTCATCCCTTAGTTCCACAGGATTCCTATGAATTCAGTGCCCACCAAATAGTTGATGGGACTTCTATTTTCCCCTCCACCCCGACCTCTTGCCTTGGAGCATTTAGCAGCTGCTTTGCTGTGTATCATTTCTGCCTTGGTAAAGACCTGTTATGGGTTAATTTGGTATAAACTGTGTGAGACTGAAACAAGCAGCTATAGGAAGACAGTGCAGGGATTTTTCTGCTGTTAACCACACCAGCTGCTCAACCAGTTTGTCAGCATGTTTGTGTTTATTTGTGCACAGATAAGATTTAAAGAAACAAACTATAGAGAAGTTTTATGAATTGACCCCAAATGGGAGTTGCTTCTGCACCTTTGCCACTTTCTGTTCTCTAGCAATGGGCTTGAAGGATTTCCATTGGCCCAAAGTTTCTAATCAGCAGTGTGTACTCTTGACACAAAAAGCTTTGGATGACCACGTGCCTAATGTGAATGCTTCACGTTTGGTGGGCTAGCACACAGTGGATATTACGTGACTATTGAGAGTCTTCATGTGGTGTCATGTTGTCTTCACCAAATTCAGCTCACAGAAAAACCAATGTCATTGTCCTTTGAGATGATGCAAGTGGGTTTT